ATTTTCCTCCTACATACATCGTTCTGTTGGCTTTCCCTGGGGCTTCTTCACGGAAGTCGATTACCTCCACAGACCTTGTGCCCTTCTTGTACACAACCATGAACCCACCACCGCCCACACCAGCAGAATGCATATTGTAGACTCCGATGCAAAACAAGGCTGCGACTGCTGAATCCATTGCCGTACCTCCTCTTTTAAGAATGTCACGGCCTATCTCCGAACAGGGACCAGCATCCGATGCAACTACGGCATGTTTGTAAGGCCCATCTGCTCCCGGTGGTGCAGTAGGAGGAGGAAGGATGGGCTGCGAAGTAGGAACGTCTGGTTCGGAGTCTCTGTCTCTCGTGAAAACTATTGCAAGTGTGATGATGATGGCTACCACAACAAGAACGACGAGGACGAGGATGATGATCATCCGTCGCTTTGTTGATCTGTTGAACACAGTAACGTGAAATCAAGATTGAGATTGTAAAAATAGTTTATGGCTGGAACGACGCGACCTCTATGAGCGAGAAGACTTTGCGCGTAAAGCTCAAACAATTGGCAACAAAAGTTACGAAAGTTACCTAATGAGTCTCTTGGCCGAGACGAAACACGGCGAATGATTTTATTGTTGAACAGTAGTGACTACTTTTTGATGTCATGAATCTTCGCATTTGCGCCTCCATCGAAAATGAGTCCATTCCCCCCCGCCTACATTTTAACTAGCGGTTAATGACTTTTGTCAAACGAGTTGGGACCACTGGTTACATAAAACAGGATTCCTGATTTGCTTGTCAGTTTAGCGCACTTAATTGACACGTGGACTCGTTGGTCTGTTTATTCAAACAAAGTTCAGTTAGCCGATGGTTGACAAAACCGCCTCCTAAACAATCCTAAATTTCGCTGGACCTTTTATCTGGACTCATCTTTTCTGTGGACAATGTCAAGATGGTCGAAAGCTGACAGTGTAAGGACATCAGTTTATTTAATTAAATTAACCCCCTTAAAGAGAAAGCACGAAATCCATTGCGTAAAACCGTGGTTTGGGTTGGACCTTGTGTAAAGAACAGGCCCATTAGGTTTGAAAAAATTACTTGAGCTGTTAAAGCGTAAACGTTATGTTGTTTTAATAATGATCATCACTGGCTACAATTTGGGGCAAAAATAAGCACCTCCCTACTTCGGAAAGACTTGCTACGCAGATTATTTTCAGTCGGCATCTTATGGTCCGTTGTCAGGGTTAAATTACTTGGCAAATTTTATTTCAGTTTAATTTCGAAACCCATATTTTCATTTGCAATCACAATTTTTGAAATTACTGTATTTTCTAATAGTTGCTGTTGTTGCTGGATGCCTATATATGAATCAACTCTACCTCGACATCTCCTGCTAAAAATGAATTCCTGTTTGCAGCGCGTTTGTTGTGCTGAATCATGATACACACGCAAAGTCCGAATTTTGAACTGTAAAATTTATTGACCCTGATAACACGCCATAGCTACTTGATAGACTACGATAATGTGTATAGCGCTCTGCAAGACAACCTTTGTAGGGAGGGGGGATGGCAGAAGCACACAGGCTTATAGACGGTGATGCTCGAGTGAACAAGTATGATGTCCTCCGACAACCTTTGGATGAATTTTTAGCTTTGTTTTTTAAATTTTAATCAGGTAAGATTCATCTTTAAAGAAACTCGAGCCGAACACCTCTTTAAGGCGCTTCGGCGCCCTTTAATCTTGTCATCGACATGGATGACCTTACCTGTATTTCCAAATGTAGATGACTGCAAACAAAACGCGAGGGGTTTTTTTATGAATAATTATTTTTCACTTATTTATTCAAGAAACCAATGTTTGCAATATTTAAAAGTCACGCCATAATACTGCGATAGTATATTTTTCACTTTTATATCTTGTTATCAAGATCTGTGAGCATATTTCCGCAGCATGTGACTCTTACTCTTGGTATACTGTTTGCGTTAATAGCAAAGTTTGTGATTGATGCTTAAAAATACCTAAAGCGTGAGTGAAAAATTTTTTAACTGATCATGTTCACAGTCAGGCCCTCAAGAATTGACGCAACAGGAAAACGCATCTTCACAAATAAAACAAAGAAAGAGTGTTACACCACCACAAAACAAACATTTCAATTGTCACGCCATGTGGAATAAACTTGATTTTGAGGGGGTTCTTCAAAATTTCTGCTCTGAATGGTACAAAACGAATCAAACAAAACACTCTGATCTTAACGTGCCTGGACAAATTCTTATTGAAGTTAACTCAGTTCTCTTAAAAAAGAAAATATTCCCTGGTTCACTACGTCTTACATCCATTGTCTGTCAACACAATTATTTGTTCTCGTTTACTGTAATAAACATCAGAAACAGGAAACAGTTTTCGAATACAAACCAATCTTGCTATCTTTTATTCTCGAATAGAATTTGAAATTCGATTTGTTCTGTTGTTATCGCGCCGCTCGTGTCTATCGGTTGGTGTTCATCGCACGGTTTCCCAGAGCAACATGTTTCCTACGATAAGCATCGCCTATTGATCAACAACTGCTGTTAGCAGGTTCACGATGACAGAAATCAACTTCAGTTTCGTTGATAGGTATGTTTTGTATATGACAATACTACTTCTGTCACACGACGCCGTCTCTTTCAGCTTGGTGTCTATTTTCCACCTCCACAGCTTTATTAGAAAAGCCCTAGCGATCGAAATTAAGAAGTCCAAAGTCCTACTCGTCCTCTGAAAAAGACGCCTTGACACTAATTTAGAAGGCACTGACAGGCAAGACAAAATTTCAAGATAGTCCTGTCTCCATTTGACACGATAGTCCTCCACGATACGAATTTTACCTCCCCCTTCGGACCCCTTCGTTATCCGTAAGCTTGCTTCGATTCTTTAAATGTACGTCTTCAAATTGAGCTTCTTTTGCTTAAAACAGACTCTTTTTTGCAGCGAAAGCGCCTGCTAATTGCCGCGAGCATTTCCTAGATTTCTCCAAGGGCAGTTTGTTTGACTCACCTTTCGCGGTGTTTTGGTTCACCCTCAAATATAACTTTGTTATCACCACTGCTCATGTTTGCCTGAACTTGTTTTGTCGCCTTCACTGAGCTAAACAACAAACCTGTCGCAAATTTGGATAGGAGCCACGTAACCGTTTTGCAGGGCAACAAAGGATGGCGGTTCCGGTTGGCGTAATTTTACCGCGTCTTCAAAACATGCTAATGTAATACAGGTCTCTTTTATAACAGCAATATGATATTCATGCACATAATAATAGATTGGACACGACATGCCGAACTAGACAGGTGGTCTTGTAGAAACAATGACACTGGTTTGACAGTCCTTACCCTAGCCAGATTCATTGTCTAATTATCACCGTCAAAACATAATAATTGTTGATATGACGACCATGACAGCTCTGTAGCTCAAGGGTTGACCATCGGAGCTTTCGGAGGTTCAACTTCACGTGAGGGATTCAGATGTTTTTTTTTTAATTTTTGCCCCTCGTTCCTAACAAAACGAGTAATGCAGAAGTTGATAAGATATTAAACAGGCAATTTTTATTTTAAGTAAAATTCAACAGCATTTAGGCAAAATACAGGGTTATTATCAGTTATCGGAAAAAGTTATCAAAGCTGTATCAGAGTTTGCTGTAGGCAGGCACGTTTTCTCTATTGGGCTGCCTGAATGAAATAAGGATGTAATATTTTTTTTCGTCACGCAGGAGTACCTGACACAGTGCAACTTTTGTTGCAGTTAGTGTAATAGTCAATCTTTCCTCACCCTGAATTTAATTTGGTCGTATTTATAGTTCGTTTCTTTCAGTGCAAATGGTTCAGAGCAATTTTCAAATGAGCATCGAAAGCAGGAGTCCATGGGCTCCTATCGAAAGTAATCCGTGATTGACTTGGCTTTGCTTATCTTTACTCTCTGACTGTTCTAGAAACTCTCAGCACCCTTCTAACCGATTAGATTAAATCTAAAACCATTTTTGCCTGGCATAGAAATACAGTAGTAGAACAAATTACAAGGAGTAAGTGTTAAAAGTCTTTCCGACTCCTTTTATTCACACGGGGAAGAGTAAGCCGAGCATGAGCCGCGCGAGAGCATGGGGCAAAGGGAGCAAAGAAAACGACGAGCAGAGAGACGGGGTAAGGAAGTAAAAGAATGAGCCATTCTTTCCCCTCCCTAACCTCCCCCTTTTGTTGCTTTTTGGGCACGAGTTTTACCCCGACTGATGCCCTCACACGTTACCGCTCAAGGTTGAATGAGAGGAAATGGAAAGGCTTACAACGCGGGCTTCTTCGCCTAATTTTGCATCCTCTTCTCTCACTTAAATTATTAGGCAGTTGTCTCATCATCAAAGTCGCTGCATAGTCGTAACCCTTGCTGCCAAACGGATCAACCGCATAAAGCAGAAAATTCTTGTTCACGGAGAAAATAAGATTACTATATCCATTTCTCCAACCTTCATCAAACACCACCGGATCAAATCTACCGCATCGAGGGAAGCTCCCTTTTCTCGGTGAAACTGGAAAATCTATTAGGGCAGTTAACATTGAGTTTAAGTGCTCGATAATATTGTGTTACAGAAAATTTAGTAAGTTTTCATTGTGTTTGGAACATAGTTACGCAAAAACTTTTCATGTTCAACCATTTTCGATTCATTCAAGTTCTTTCGCTCTAGTATTTCAAAAAATATAGAAAAGCCACAGTAGTTTTTGAATCGCAAACTAGTACATTTTGCTGGTTACTTTGCCTTTCATTATACATCTCAGTGTCGGTGCCTTGATGACCATTACTACTGAAATAGCATGTAAATAAAAGTGTCAATGTTCTCTCTGGAAATATAAATATAAGCGTTGATGATCTTTCTGAAAATTTGGTTCTCATGGAAGTTGTCGGCTGATAAGTTTGCTTTCCTTACATAGGACAATTTTCTCACGTTGCCATATTTCCAAACTTAACACCAACATCGCATAAATAACTGAACAGAAATTATTACTACTTCTCACTTTTATTTCCTAAGCTGCTCTACCGCAATTAAAATAGGTGTTTTTAATATCAGAGCTGTGAAATTTGACTTAAGTTTTCTATTTTTAATGGCCTAGAGTCTATTGCATTCGTTTCTTAGTTTTTAAATTCTTTATTTAAACGAAATTGCTCAACTACAAAGAAAAGTTTTCCGCCCTTTTGTGACCCTAAATTATTCAAATATTGCAATTCGAGTAATAGCAGAACCTCGCACCCGTTGATACTTGATACTAGGCAAGTAGATTGTAAGGCTTTTTCGATGACGAAGTTGAGTACGTTAGAGGTCATGTCGGTTGTCGGTATGAGCTAAAATAATATCTTTACGGTGGCCAATTTACGTTATTAACTGAGTTGATAATACTAAATTACCCTGTTATACTCTCCCACCGACGCAGCACCACAGTTTCTTTAGAAACTTATCCCCTTTTGTAGACTCCGAGTTAACCCTTTAATTAAACTCCCATGATTGACCAAGAGAGAATTTCTCCTTACAATATCATTACAATATCAAGCAGAAAAGTGATGAGAATAATGAAAAACGTCAGGGGGATTAGAGGATGATCAAATACCAAATTCTGCGAACTAACATTATAAGAATTGTATGACGGACAGTGAGATGAATTACTCATGCCATCTGGGAGTGAAAGGTTTAAAGCGAATTTAACACAAGGCAAAACTAGTGCGATGACGTCTCGATTCAGCGCCACTAGCCCGCAATCTCGTTGTCTGACAAAGAGTAACAGTATAGCAGTTGACATATCGCAGTCAACAGCTTCAACCTGTTTTCTTTCCACTTTATACATCTGTATTGATAACCAAGTAGGACAATAAATATCTTAACGAAAAGCTTAGTGGCAAAGAGAAAGTGTCTTCTATTGTTTTAAGACATCGCTCATCAAATTACAAAAGGAAACTACACAAAAGTTACAAAAATTTTTCGTGATTAATGGGTCTTTTCCCCTCTGCAAAAAAGCTTCGCCGGAGTGCTAAGCAGCAGATAACAACAAATATACTCAGATATGTTTCTAACTACATTATCAGCTCTCTTTTAAATCATCTTCAAAATCCTGCGGCCCAGGAGCCCTTTCTGGGATCCGCCTTTCCGTAAAGTTTACCATCAGGGCTTGTGGCCGCCGCCTGTACCACTGCAGAGGAGAATTCTGTAATGTTGTGTCCAAGCTCTTTCAGTCCCTCTTGAACTGCAAGGGAAATGGGGCGGACTCTTTCGATGCGAAGGAAGTTTGGTAGTAGTTGATGATGGAACCTGGGTTCTTCTACAGCTTTTGTTAACGTTTGATTGAACCAGAAGTAGTTCATCACCACCTGTTCCATTCAAAAACATAAATTTCTACAGTAAGTACAACCACGTTCCAAAGAAAAAAAAAGCTTGAAAAACAGTAGTAGGATGAACACAATTTTTTTTTTGGGGGGGGGGGGGGGGGGAGGAAGCAAGTCATTATTTATCACTTGTGGGGGATAGGTCAGTGAATTTTGGGGAAAATAAAATGGTTTTCGGGTAGGACGGAGGGGGAGATCAGTTGTCATTTACAGAGTATAACTGGGGGGGGAGGGCTGTAGAAAATTGACTGCGCATGCCAACGAGGGGCGGAGAAACAGAACCTTAGGGGGATCAGGTATATTTAATTGGAACAAATTTCTACATTGTTCCAATTATTCATCTATTTACTCATGCATTAAGAAGAAATCCGTTTCACGGGGGCTGTTCAGTACTCTCTAAATATAGGGTGTCCTTTTAATAATTTAATCCCTTTAGAGTGACCATCATCTATTTTTTTCTCTTAAAAATATCATCTCTGAATCAAACATTATGGTCAGGAGAATAAAGGAAATGATCACTAACAAGAGAAGGTCTTGATTGATAAACTAATTCCCCTTGTCACAACTATATATATACCCAGGAACGGTAAGCAGGATAGTATGGGGAATACGCATTCTGATGTTAGGGTGTGAAAGGTCAACATGCGTTCACTTGATAAAAATTTCACTTAAGTCAATACATCTTACCAAAGGAATGGCAGTTGTAATTTTTGTGCCTCCCGACGCCCCGACAGCTAGTCGGGTAACGTTATTATGGTCTACAATTATGGTGGGAGTCATTGAAGACATGGGTCGTTTTCCAGGTTCGATGAAGTTGCTCGGTGATGGTTCCACACCAAAATAATTAATTTCACCTGGAGTCGAAAAGTCGTCCATTTCATTGTTGTAAATAATGCCAGTACGCGTCGAGCGATACTTTGACCCAAAGCTGCGAGTTAGCAGTTAAAGAAAAAAAAAAGACAGAATAAATAGTTTAATATGATAAGGTGTAAGACTTTGGATTCACTTCTCAGAAGTGCAAGACGTTTTTTTACTTTAATAATTTAATAAAGTGATCAGAGAATTGCACAGATGAAGCCTTCAAAAGCTTGTTAAGGGTCTATCGAGTGTGACTCGTAGTTACGGCATCCGACCAGCTCCGACACCTTTTTCAGTTTCGTAGGATTATTCGACACTCCATTGATGCTAATACCAGGTTAACTGCGTGCAGAAGTAATTTCTATTTTTCCATAACAACCTTGGTGTAATTATGCTATCAAACAACTTAGTCTCAGAAGTTGGAATAGGTTTTTTTTTTTGGGGGGGGGGTCTACGGGTGCATGTGACCCTTTCCTTATAAGCCTTATTTAGGGAGAACAACGTCAAGGGCTTTGCATCGATCGTGACTTGTTTTGAAAAGGTCAAAGAGAGTTAGCAAGTCGCGATTAGTTGCTTTCTTGCATGTGATTGGTTCAGACGGTAACGCAGAATCTCATAACAAATCTCGGAGCGTATAGTACAGTAAAACCAAACAATCTGGTTTACCTTCGACACTCATTCGGAAAGTGCTCATAGGTTACGAAAAGATATATGATGTAGATATGTTTTCTTCCCCTAACACTGAGCGTTTCTGAAAAAAAAGGTTGTATATGGCAAGACTTACTAAAGATTTACTGTGGTGGTAGCGGAGACAGCATCCCCGTCAGGAGAAATCAGAGACAGGTGCGTAGTCCCTGCGGGATTGACGCTAGAATAGAAGTCCCCGTAGTGTTTGTAGTCGAATGTTCGGTTGTCGTAAATCTTTTGTCTTAGACTTTCTCCGAACGCTGAACTGGTCATATTTTGTACAATCTGTTGGAAACAAAGATTGATGTATTAAGCGCTAAACGCTGATTTCGCTAAGAAATATTTCAGTATCACTACAAAAGATTTGCCAAAAGTTTAAAGGTAGGGGGCAAACTCGGATATTTATCGCCGACAGAAGTAGAAGGGAAATGTGGAGTAGGTTCAGAACCACCTTAATTTGCTCGATAATTTAAGCGGTTCTCAATCTACACGACAGATTTTTTTTAAACTTGGAAAAAAGATGAGCACTGATTAAAAAGATTGCAATAATGCAGGCCACTGAATCAATTTTTGAGTCCTGAGCATATATAGTTAAAAGTAAGGATGTTTACAAGGGGATGTAGCGTTTCCATTTTAGATTTTTCGTTTTAGGGAAGGGACCTGTGACCGTAGTAGAGGAGGAAAACAATGTTATGTTAGTGTCGTCCATGCCATTTTAATCAAATATTGACATAAAACTTCTAGAGCAAGGGCGCACATGGTCCCTAAGCAACAGCAATCGTGATTACAAAAAGTAAGAAAAAAATCCAACATTAGCAATAGCATAATACCAAACATGCATATCAAAGTTCTGTTACTGTCACTAATTCGTTACATCTTAACTTAAAAAATATATATATATGCTTTCCAGCAGTGATAAATTGAATGAAGAGAATTTATGGATTTTTCACTTATGATCTTAAATGAGGCCTTACCTCTCCTACGTCCCAGAAGTCTTCGTCTCCCAGCAATGCCCTGTAAGCGTAGGCAAACTTGAAAGCTTCCACTATCCTGTGATAAGTTAGCACTGTGCTGTTTATATCTTTACGGTCTGCAGCAGTCATATTGTAACCTGTGAAACAACAGTGATTACCGCTCTTAAAAGTTTCATTACCACGTGCGAGACAGAGATAAGCTGCTCAGCAAAGAGAGTGATACATTCTAGTTTTTATTTTGCTATGCTTTCTTTTTGCTATCGAAGTTCATAACTAAATGTATTCAACTCTGAACTAGCCATTTCAAATGATACAAATTAATTGCGTCATAACAACTTTTAGATTATGCCGCATAAGCCCTTAGATTATTTTGGGTCGCTGTTGGGTTAATTTCAGTTTCCAGCCTTGGCAAACCTTAGTTATCACACTGTTTTTTTTTTTATTTTTAATTCTAGGTGACTCAGTGACATCTAGCTCTGTTCTGGTTTATCATTGTGAATGAACTACCTTTGATACCTCGCATGCTAGTATTAAACTTTCCACATAATCCTTTCGTGGAATTCTCAAAGATGCCGGCTTGGAAATCGAACTTCAGGACCTTCTGATCTTAACCTTAAATAGATTAGCCTCTTACATGCACTCAATCAGTAAAACGTGGCGGGATTGTAAATGGCACAATTGCTGCAGCTGCGCGAAAAGGAGAGAGGGTTGGGTCGAGTCACGTTCCTTGCGCGACCCGACTCAAACTCGATTTTTTTTGTTTTGCTCGTGCCTTTCGTTTCTTTCACTCTGTTTTACCAAATAGTTGAACATCAGGAACGAGCTATATGAAACAGGAAAAAAAAACACCAGAGGGACTGATTCAGAAGGAAATTACGACACCAGCACACCACATACCTTTCACAATGTTCATGATTAACGACAAGACGGCGCCACTACCCGGAGGTGGGTTCGTATATAAAGTGTAATCATCCATCTTTACTGTAAGTGGCGTACGAACTATCGTTCGGTAGTTTTTCAAATCCTCCAACGTAATGATGCCCCCACCATCGCGAATGTCTTTTACTATGTCCTGAGCCAGTTCGCCGGTGTAGAAACTACTTGGATCATCGCGGATTCGCTCCAAAGTTCTACCGAGCTTTGGCATTTCCAAAACGGCTCCTAATTCCTTCAAGTTTCCTTTACTGTCCAACAGTAATTCACTGAAAATAGGCATGCAAACAAAAATGAGGTTAACTAAAGGAGAACAATGTATTCAATTCATATTCAACCTTAGCATGTTTTATAGATATGTAATTATTAAAAAAAAAACCAGTGTTTCCACCTCATAAGCTTTCATTTACGACAACACGGACTAACTAGTTATCCTGGACTCCTTTTCAAGACAATTACTCTTGAAAGAGGACAAAGCACAAGAACTAAAGAGAAAAAACTATTTTGAAGCACAGTTAATCAATGCTACAATTCCTTAAGGTATACTTTAAGCTAGGCCAAAGTAAAGTGTTTTTTGCGGTTCCGAGATTACTCCCGACAGCGAAGACGAAATCACCACGAGGAAACTAACCACAAATCTTTCATCAAATTCTAGCAGACTATTATACTTAAGAGCAAGATTAAACAAAAGTATGGCACGAAACTTGCAACATAAAGTTTTTCGTCCGAGGGGCGCTCTTAATTTTGAGCAAAATCACACAATTTAAAGAATTAGTGTAGACTGAGTAATGGGTGCATTAGTGAGGCCAATTATCAGGCCATCGCGACCACGCTAACCCACTAGATCCCTCTCACGGTAGTAACCCATTTTTTACCTCAATCCAGGATCTTTCTTGATCGCTGCCAACGTGGAATTACGGCTTGCCGCATAATGTGCAGCATGTCCAAATCGAAATCCATTCTTGGCTAAATCAATAGCCGGTTGGACTAGATCCTTCCAAGGAAGCCTTCCGTGTGCCTTCCATGCTGCAAGGTATCCGCTGACCTCACCTGGCACACCTGTGGCTGAAGCTCCTACAGTTAAAGGTGGGGGAAGGGGAGGTTATCTTTTAGCAATGAAGCTTTTCTAATAACTGCTCAGTTTAACCTTGGCCGGGTTATTGTGTTGTGTTCTCGGGACCTGTAGCCTCATATGTCATTATGTGTTGTAGTGATGCGTTGTAGTGGGCCTTGTGCCCACAGTTCATCACGGTTCCCGCAGGATGCAGGGACAAGAAAGCGCTATGAGCGCTTTTGAACTTTTCAAGTGTACATGGACGATATGTTAAAACGCATTAAAGAGTAAGCGTTTTCAAAACGGAAACGCGGTGAGGTGATGAACAAGCTATTGTGGGTGAAAATGATTTCCTCGTTTTGGCTAAGCGTGGGCGGATTCCTCCAAAAGGAACAAAACCTTTATATCTCACCTAATTTGGAGTTGAGGCTGCTGTTGACATACATATTAGCGCTTGCATTCCCAGGAGCAACTTCTCTGAAATCGTACACTTTGGCCAGTCCTAGACTCCTATTATACACGGTCATGAAACCACCGCCACCGATGCCGGCCGAGTGCATATTGATGATACCTATACAAAATAGGGCAGCAATGGCAGAGTCCACCGCTGACCCATTCTTCTTGAGGATATCTCGTCCCACTACTGAACAAGGGGCGGCGTCCGCTGCTACTACTCCGTGAGTGTAAGGTCCATCGGCCCCTGCGGGAGCTAGGGTGAGGTGAAAAGACATGATCGTCACAATTAGCCACAGTCAAGAAAAAGTGTTAGATGCTTCTTCAGGATAAAAATCAATCGTGTTAAGGGAAACCGCAAAAAAGATGGTTTCCAATTTTTTAAAAATATCAAAGCAAACTTAAGTTTTAAAATCAGTCAGTCAGACTTGATTAAAATCTTGGGAAGTACTGATAAATATTTCGAGAAGAACAAGTTTTTTTTAAAGTAATCTCTTCTATTTAATTCTCTCCTAATACAAAATGCAAAGGAAGAAATAAAGTCATCAGAGTGTACACTAAATCTAGGAAATAAAAACCTGCATCACCGTTGTAAAACTTTCAAAATGTTATTATGAATTATTTTGTTATGAAATTTAAGAACGATTTCCAGCCGTGCAAGCGCACTGGCTTCAGTATCTGTCCAGCCTCTTACCTCCAGTAGGTAGCGGCGGCACTATGAACTCAGTAGGCCCCGGCACAGTTTTTTCTTGTTTTCCTTGTTTTTCTTGTTCTCCTTCTTTTTTTCTCAGCACCAAGGCAAGAACAATAGCGAGAATTATCACAATCACAACGATAATCGCTACTGCTATGATGATTTTCCATTTTTTGGAGCTACAAAAGTAAACAGAATGTTTAAATCACCCCATTTCAGAGAATGTCTCTTGCAAACCACCTATCGAAATCTGAAATTACGGTTTGAGGATAATGGCATATACGCATCGACCTAGGAAGCCGATTTGAAGATGACAATAACTTGTGAAGATGCATGTGTCGCACCAGTGAAACGCAGAACCCTCAGGGATTCAGTTCGACAACATGATAATAGTGTCGGATCAATGTCAGTGGGGTGTTAAAGAAAACCACGATGGCAACGCCAACGGGAACGGCAGTAGACAAAAGGTTCAATAAGCAGAACAATGGCTGTACACGTGCGTCATAAATCTTTGTAAATTTCTTTGCCTCCTTTGCAAAACAACAACGTGAAAAGAACAAACTTTGCGTATTCTGGTAAACGTGAACGACGACGGCTAATTGATACAAACGATGTTTAAAAGGAAAATTTGGTAGGGGGGGTCCATATTTGCGAAGGGGGTCCATATCCACCGGTCCAAATCCGCGGGGGGTCCAAATCTGCTATGACACCGGCAAATAGTTATTTATGCAAATTTAGGATTATAACAAATTTAATTTTCCTTAATGAACCGTAGCTAATATTTGTTCGATAAGCAGCCGAACCAGTTGTTTAGACTATTTTAAAGGGCCTTTGTTCTGACAATCATACTCGTCCAATTGAGAGTTTATAACAGTTTACGAAGACCACAGACTGAAATGCTCTTAAGAGAGAAATGTTCTCCATTTAAGCACCACAGTAATAAACAGTAACATTATGAAGCCGAAAGAACAGGTCTAGTTCAACTGGTGTGTTTAACTCCGATGTTGACAAGCGACAATAGGTTTTCTCTTCCTAGGGCCTCTGATGTTAAAACATCTCCTATGCGTATCCTTATGACGTAAACAGAACTGTAATTTACGGTTCTGTTTATGTCATAAGAAGAGCCATGTTTGACAGAGTAATTGTTGGATAATCCAGCGAACAATATGATGGCTTTGTTTTCTTTCTCCATAACACAATAACAGCAAAGGAAAAATATCAGCACTCATGCAATCAACATTGAAATCGTCGTTTCTGCTCAAAGCTATTGCAATCGTTGATCTTGAAATTCTCGAAAAACTGTGCAATAAACCTGCTGCTTCTTTTGTATCTCACGTACTAACTGATCCAAATAAACATTCTCATGGTTTTGCGCAAATTAGTAGGAATCATCACAAAGACTCTTGTTTCGAGCACGATTACGGTGCGAAAGAATAATACGTTCGAAATCAACTTCGCGGAATTCAATGGCGATTCAACGCGTCAGTCTTACAGAGCGAAGATGTTTATAATGAAACCGATCATTCTAATTGGAACTTTAAGTTCCACACAGCTAATAAACTTAAACACTGGCAAATTGGAATAAAACTTAGAGAGATGACTAAGTTGTTTGGAGAACTTTCTTTGAGATTACAACTGCTCCGGAGCGAAAACTTCTACCGAAGTCCACATCCTGTACGAATTTTTACTCACATTTTGGGACGTAGTTCAAACTTTAATTCCACCTTCTGATCTGCATCTGGGCCGTCCTCAACCTCCCTGTGAAAGAAAATTGCTCAACTTACAATATGCAAGATATCAATCTCTGAGCAAATAAATACGTTTTAGAAAAGTTTATAAACAAACGTCAGATTGAGAAATATTGCACTTGAAATTACCGTAGCGGTTCAAATTCATTTTTTTCCATCTTGCGATGAACAAGTGCACGTGGAGTTTAAAGCCTTTTGTCTGCAGTAGAATTGTCCTCGTTGGTTTTTGCCAAACGTTTACCTGTTGTTTCCTTTCAGCTGTCGCCTTTATTCAAAACAATTTCCAAGAAATTCACACTAGAAGGTCTGTGTGAGACGAAACGAAACAAATAAGCCATTTTACAGTTGTGTACTTAGTTGCCAAGCCTTTGATTTGGAGTGAGGCTGAAAGTGACCTTGTTGGGTCCCCTCGATTAACTATGTTGTGATAGAGACCAGTATCTAGCTAGCATGATAACAAAATAATTTGCATTTGAAAAGCAGCAAGGTTTGTATCATAACAAGGTCACACTTGGCCTCATTTCTGTTCAAAGGCTTGGCAACCAAGCACACAACTATAAAATGGACTATAAGTGATCCTGAGAAAGGAACTACTTTGAAGTTTTAAGCAATACTAATTCACATTTTTAATTCAAGGCTTCAAGTGCCTTCAGGATATTGTACACAATTAAAAATTGTTATGCTTGACGTCATCGCCAAGAACACAAATTATGTGTAGAGCGCACAAAGTTATTAACTAAACTGTAAAACACTGTGAGTGGAGTTAGTGAGGGTGTTACAAATTATTTTAATTTAAAAATTTCAAAGTGCTTCACTCACATCTTGTATTTCTGTCCTTCCATGTTACCTCCAGCAGATACAAACCTTATAATAAAAATATGAAGAACGCATTTTCAAATTTTGTTAAATATAGTCAAACCTGTTTTAAGTGGTCACCCACGTTGAAAGGCGCAGTGAATGCTTGAGACAGGCAGACCGCTTAATACAGGTTCCACATAATAGGGATTATATTATATAGAAACGATGATAAACGTAGATAAATAGATAGGTTTAATTTCTCTTGAAAGATTATTCTTAGTTTTCGTGACCGTTCAATACAGGTGGAAGAAAAGTAGGCCGTTGGGACTCAGTAAAGGATGACCGTGACCGCTTGATAAGGAAAAAAATGAATTTTGAGTCTTTGAAAATTGACTGCTTAATACAAGGTGACCGCTTGATACGGTGCCGCTTAATACAGGTTCGACTGTACTACTTCAGTAAAACTCATTTTTGTTTGTGTTGTTCGGATTTGTCAATTTTTTTTTTCACATTACCATTTCAGGTGTTTTGGTCTCCGCTGTCCTCATAATGGCTCATATACCATCATTATTAACCCTTTAAACTCCTAAGAGTGACTGGTATCTAATTTCTCCTTACAATATCACCGCTGAATCACACATTAATGTCATGAGAATAAAGGAAATGGTCTCCAACTAAAGAAACTCTTGATTGTTAAACAAATTCTCCTTGTCAGCACATTAGTAAATGTACAGAGAACAGCATGGAGAAAATGAATGCTGATGTTAGGGTGTAAAGTGTTAAGCCAATAAAAATTGAGTCTATTACGCAAGAGACCGGTCGTAGATTGTTGCCTGGGGGGAGGGGTGAGGAGGATTTTGGTCGTGTCACAATAAAATTTTCCTTATGCCTCCCTCTAAGCTGTGTATATTCTAATGACCCCCCCCCCCCCCCCCCCCCAACCCTTATAGACAGTCCCTCCTTTATACTCCGTTAGCGATGGCTAAGAGAGTGTAATCTCTTAGCCATCTCTCTCCCCCCAAAAAAAAACGTCATTCGACCCATGACTCCTGAGATCAAATTTATCCTCTACTAAATTTTGCACAACTAACTCGACACAGCAATTTAGAATTAGTATGAGACCAATATAAAACTAGGAAAGTCAAATATCCGATGGCGTTTATAATCCCATTTTCTTTCTGACGATCCCAATAATTTTGGCAAGAGTGTTCAAGGTTTCTTGGTTACCGTTGGAGCTTTGTTTGAAAAAATTCCGTTACGTTCGAAGAAAGGCCCGGAAATGCTGTACCATTTATGGAAACATTAAAAGTACGTGAGTGCATTGTACTTATTGAAGTACTTCTCGTGAGGGCAATACAATTGATTTGAAACATGACACGAAATGCCTCCGAAAAAGAAAGATAAAACGCGGGTTCATCTTGAACCGCGTGACATGTGCAAGTAATGGCTTCTTTTGGTAATTTACGAGCGTAGGGAAAAGTACTCGACGAAATTCGCAAAAATTCGAAATATTAAGCCTCCTCCTGCTTTCAATTAATATTTTGCTGTCTCACGGCCTTTCCGCTGTACCAGACAAAACTAGTGAAGTCCTAACAAAATCAAAAGAGAAATTTTGTCATAGCACATTTTGTTTTCGTCTGTTGCATCCGCAGTAAATTTCAACACGGAAAATTGGTCTGTGGTTAAACAGTAACTCGATTCCTTAATGATTTGAAGTTAGAGCGGTAAATTCATCTCAAAAATCTAACTAAAACGGTAAAATGTTTCTAGCTTCTACAGATCTCGTTAACCTAAGCTGGTCGCAAACTTTCCCCTCAATTATCTCGATAGTAAGTTAATTTCAACTAATAGAGCCAGAGAAGCAAGCCCATCGTTACGTTAGTCACAAGACTAGTGTCGACTAGTGACGTTCCATCTTTTACTACATCAAAGCCTTTCGAAATACACAGAACATCCTTGTTTTGACTTACCTTAAACTGAACTGAAAAACGCCAGGTTTGCAATTTAATTACTCTCTGGACCGACGTCTTTTGTTCCTTTGCGTTATGGATTGTAGCAAACAAAACCGAAAATCGAGTACACCACTCCACACTGGCCACTCCAAGTCAAAGTCTGGTCCTAATCTTTCGTCACTCCTATTGATTTTCTGCAGACGTAGTATCCACTCGTTGTCACGCACATCTCAAATCCACCTTCCGGGGTCCCGTTTGGCCTACGTGTAGCAAGTGAGGGAGAGGAGAAACCTCGCATCCGTTTCACCATGGCGGGGAGGGTCCCTAACCTACGTGATCCTGTTTGTTTACTGTTTCGAAAAGGATTGTTTTCTTTCGTTTGGTGCGTTTACGCTCAGGATCAAGGTAACAGGGTTGTAAATTGGAATATTATGAAATCACATCTTCGACAAAGTTTAGATATTGAGTCATTAGAAAGAAAGGAAAGGCTTGTTGAAGGCCTAATTGTAATAACTATCCTAAATGTAATTAGTCCTAAATCAACATAACATTTGGTCCTAAATGTAATAAAGTCCTAAATGTAATAAAATTTAATCCTAAATATAATAAGCCTCCAATGCAATCGTATAACTCCGCTAGTGCATTGTTGTTGTAGCGGACATCCATATTGAGATGTTAAAGTGACAGCTGTTGCACCAAAAAATCTTCTGACCAGTATTCATGTCACATTGCGGGCTCGTTGATGTTAATCAGTGTCTTCTCATTTGCTAGACTTAAGTCGAGAAATACTGGCTGCAAACCGTTATACTGATAAACAATATAGCATCAAATAACAGCTGGCAAAACAATAAGTACGCTGACCTATATCTCTCCAAATATCACTGGCTCAGACTCTCAGGTACAATAGCCTTTAGAAAAATGGGATAACGTGACACTTGTTTGATCAGTGATCGAGTTAACAAGTCACAAACCAGATTACAAACTTGGACGAGGGAGTCCGCTGACTTGTAGGACAATTTGCAGGCTCGAATATACAATTTTCGAACCTGGGATCCCTTTATGGCTTCACTCCACCTCGGTAATCGGGTCATGTGCCATGTAACTATAAGTGCAAAATGACGAGCTTTCTTCTTTCATTTATTTTTTTGTTTATCTATTCATTTTCTCCCCTCACGGCGGGGAGAAGAGAAAAAGACAAAAAAAGAAATAAGATCGATTTGAGATCGAAAGTGGAATATATGTTCTCTCTTGACCAAGCTTATTTGTTTTCATGTCTGTCAATTTGATGCCAAAAGCACATCAGTATAAGGGTTTGTGGCCACTGCTTCTCGACTTACGTCTCTAGCAAATAAAAAGACGCTGATTAATATCAACGAGCCCGCAATATGCCGTGAATATTGGTCCGAGGATTCCTCGATGCAACAGCCGTCACTCAAACATCTCACTGTGAATGTCCGCTACAACAACAATGCACTGACGGAGTTAAACGATTGTATTGGAGGCTTATTACATTTAGGACTTCATTAAATTTGGGACCAAATGTTATTACATCTAGGACAGTTATTACATTTAGGCCTTCAACAAGGTTCTCTATTTTATTAGGCGCATTCCAAAGTCAGGTAACTGAGTAAACGAGGGAAAAACGCATTGGGAACGAAGGTATAGGGGAACGATGTCTTTCAAACGTAACTTCCCCGCGGGTACCCAGTTCTGTTGCTTAGAATTATTGTGACCAGTAAAGGGAACTAAGCAGTACTGTGATCTTTGCCACGCTTCCGACGTAAATATCCGTTTCCGTTGAAATTGCCCATTCCTTCGGGTGAAGTCGACACCTTCCCAGGGAAGCTCTCTGTGATCGACCCACACACGTCAGATGTGGAGGTTAGAGACAGTTGATTACTTCATATCTCATTTTGATTTGGTGATTGGTTATTAAACTATTGGCCTCTGTAGGAACTTTACTTGTTACTGAAGGTATGGGTATAAAGTAAAACAGAGCCAAGTTCTACCACTTTGGGTCATCAGGCCCCATCCGTTTAACACATAGAAGCAGATTGACGAAGGGCAGATAGTCAAAAATTCAAATTGTCTTATTAAAATCTCCAACACTCCTCACTTTCAATTGAAATTGTTTATTACACTGGCATAAAATCCTTAATTAGAGTGATGTTCACCAGGTTGTGGAAGAAATATTCCATCAAACATCTCGGCAGACACTTTCGCCTTACCATGAGTTCGAGCAAGGGACATTTTAAATATAGCAATAAGTTTGAAAGAACAAGTCAAAGCGAGCAAAAAAGGGAGTCCCCATGAAGAGTTACAGTCTGAAATTCATTTTTCGTTTTGCCGCAAACGCAAATTACTATTTGCTATAACGGGGGAAATTCCCGAGACAAGTGAATAAACTTTGGTTCTAGTGAAAACGACTAAAAACAAAGACTTTATAAGTCGAGTAAAGATTCCAGCCTGGATGTTTAATATCTGACGGTATCTGATTCAAGAGATTTATTTCCGTTTTCACGTAAACTCATCCTGATTTACAGTGTAATCAGGGAGTAAAATTAAAATAAAGAATTAAAACAAAGGAGAACCTTATTAACATTGCCACATCGCTGCACACCTTGCGGACTTCACTTGCATACAACAAACAACATCACACACACACACACATACACAATCTTTCCACCGTAACTACAGAAAACCGTGACTACATTCTACCGAGATGGATCGGGCAGGGAAGTTGTCTCTCTAGTTCAGTCACTTTCCCACCCATCCCCACCATCCGCTGCCCATTTCCTATCGTCCATCTCCCCATCTCCTGTTGTGTGTGCATTTTTAACAAGGCCTAATGAACAATAGCGACGTTGAGACCCTTCTTAAGCGTCATATTGTTAAATTGTTGGCGAAGTTTCTCTCGAAGCTTCCGTCGCTGCTGTGACACTGACGATTGGTTCGCTTTGAACCGTAGAATTTCCTGCTCGGATATACAGAGATCTTCCTCCGACGAAAAACACTCCTACGATGTAAAATGAAGAACGACGACTAAGGTTAATCGATAGTATATCAATCCGGAGAAAGGCATCCTGTTGGTCACGATCCCAATATATTTGTGTGACATATCCTCAGTCACGCATCAATTTATGATCGCGTGACCAGTCGCAACTGGCTCAGTGGTGCACAGAATTATGTTCAACGTGACGGAGAATACAAAATTTTAACACGATAATAAAGACAAACGAAGATAAGTTAAAGACAAACTAGGAGGAAGTAAAGATAGCTAAGGATGGAGAAGACTTAAGCAGATTGTACATAAAAATTAAAAAAGACTATATAAACTTAAGCTTACTTTTTCAAGAAGCACAAATCGTGACGCAACAGGAAGTTTGAGATCAGGGGATATTCTACCCTTGGGGTTATCGGATCCCAGGGAAAACCTAAATCGCCATAGAACGACGGAAGTATAGTTAAAAATAACTCACCATTGACTCTGTTCCTCCATCCTTCCAACCCATTAGCTTCAGGAGCCGTTTTTTCTTTGTCATCAATATTTTCTACAAGCTTTTCTTGCTTATCATGTCTCGGCGAATTTTGCTAAAGAGATATATAAAAACATTATTGAACACTAGAATGAATGAATGAATGAGTTAATAAATGAGCGAATACTTTCACTGACTTAACGGTGAGGAAGAACAACGTAACGATTTGCAAAATTACATTTGAACATCTTCAGTCACGTAAGCTTAACACGGTAAAAAAGCGTGACCGCCTAAGTTAGAGTGACAAGATTGCATGACGATTGAAACTACCGCACAATAACCCTTTAACTCCCAAGATCTCATTAGTAATTCTCCTAACTGTCTGTCATACAGTTCTTGCAATGTTAGTTTGGAGAATTTGGTATTGGATCAACTTACAATCCCCTAAATTATATTTTTCTTTATTCTCATCACTTGTCTGCTTGAGATTGTATTGATATTGTAAGGAGAAATTCTGTCTTGGTGGCTCATGGTAGTGAAAAGAGATAACTAATTTAAGCATTCAATAGTGTAGTTTGATCGTTTGGGTGAGTGTAGTCCTGAGAAGGACTGTTGTCGGTAATGGTGACCGACGTTTCGACAACCTGAGAGGAAGTTATCATCAGAGTCAAATCCACAACAACCTTTCACTTGACTCTGATGATGACTTCCGCTCAGGTTGTTGAAACGTCAGTCACCATTGCCCACAACAGTCCTTCTCAGGACTACACTCACCTGGAGCATCAAACTACACTATTACATGTTACCCCCGGGTTCAAACCATTTACTGTATTAATCAAGCATTGTGAAGGGGTGTGGATAGGAGGCTTATATGTTTACCTTCTTCCCCTTGCTTTTGCCCTTCCTCTTTCTTCCCTTTCCATTATGAGCTAAGTAATCATGATGAACTTCAAGTGAACAGCTTTTGTCTGAACACAGTGCACATGTGTCTCCTGGTTGAAAGTAGAACAGCATTACCATACTATACACGTAAAATATGTCAGTTATAGGAGTTACACGGTAAAATAAAACACGAACATGTACTCCCTAGTGTGACCAAAAAGAAATTTCTCCTTACAATATTAACACAAATTCAAATAAAAAGGTGATGAGAAAGAAAGGAGAAAATAAACTTGGGTATATTGTTTTAATTGACAAAAAATTATCAAAGCCAAACTTGTAATAAATGTATGAAGTACAGAGCAGAGAATTGATCTTTTCATCTTGGAGTAAAAGAGTTCAGGGCACTTGGACATTAAGGAACTCAGTAAAAAAAATCAACAGATGTTAGAAAGATCATCTATGTACATTTACCCATGTTTTCTGAGGTAATTTTCCAATGTGTCAAGCAGAGCATTGGAGTCAATCAGCATCACCTGTTTGAGGGAGAGAATTTGTTAATACATTGTGACAATTAAATGCCTTTTTATCATCTTTTGGTCAGTGGGAAAATTGTAAATGATATCATATCACTTTTACAGTCAAGTATTCCTGTGTATTAGGTGAGAGTGTCTCTCAAAACAAGAGAGAAGTGCCATTAGTAACTGATGTCTTTTACTATTTCAAATAAAGTCAAACCTCAGCTTCTGGTAGCTGATTTTGCCACACTTTTTAAGATTAATTGTAGGATGTTTTGGTTGTATCCCACTTTGTTGCAAGTCCTATGGGTCAATGGAGGACATTGTGATCCAACGTCACAGTGAAATTAAGTTACAACATTTCAATAGAGCTGCATGAGTGTCATAGTCTTACAGAACAGGCCCCAGTTGCATAGAGGGCATACACTGTATGAGGCTATCCTATAAATAAATCCCTATCTAGCAGATCAGTGATAGTGAAACATACTGAGCTATCCACTCAATTGAAGTGTGGAATTAAAAAGAAAAATTCCAGTTACTTATTACAGAGCAGACATAAAAGAATAGATTGTCAAAACTTAAAACATAGGTAAATTTTTACTCTGACAAGGATGCCAAGTGTCTATGACTTTGCACAAAGGTTCATTGAACAGCATAACCACAACAACTTGATCAATCATGTAACTCTGCCCACAGGAGCCTAAACAAAACAAACAACACACTCTGTAAGATTTAGATCACTGTCATATCACAATGTTCAATTTGATAAATAACAACTGAGCATCACTACAAATCACACTGTCCTTCATCCACCGTCAATCAATAGGAGGACTCAGCTGGTGGTTGTTTAGGGCACTTGATGAAAATAAGAATGACAGATCCACTTAACC